GAGCCCCATGGTGGTGGCGGCACATACCTTTAATCCCAGCACTCAGGAGGCAGAGGCATGTGGATCTCTGTGAGTTCCGGGCCAGCCTGGTCTACAGAATGAGTTCCAGGCTAGCCAAGGCTACACAGAGAAACCCTGTCTCAATAAATAAATAAATAAACAAACAAAAATCTTTAAGTAATAGATGTTTAAAGCAAAAAAGAAAGAACAAGCAAGCAACCCAGCCATTGGATTTTAGAATAGAAACAATATCTACACTTGATTTCAGCCAAAAAGCTGAGACCACATAACATGAAAGTTAATCTGGTGAAGTAACCCAAATGCAACTCAAAGAAATAAAAAGTTGGGGAAAAACCATAAAGTAACAAACAGGGGCTGGAGAGATGGCTCAAAGGTTAGGAGTACTGGCTGCTCTTCCAGAGATCCTGAGTTCAATTCCCAGCAACCACATGGTGGCTCACAACCATCTGTTATGAGATCTGGTGCCCTTTTCTGGTGTGCAGATATACATGGAAACACAATGTTGTATACATAATAAATAAAATCTTTTTTAAAAAAGGGACAAACAGTTCAATATATAGTTGGTAATAGAAAGTTACAAGAATTTGGAAGAAGCAAAAATTAAAAAATAAAAAGATCGAGTTATGAGATTGTGAAGCTTGGAGGGACTCAGTTCTCCCTGGAACGCTGGAGTAGAGGTAAGCATGTTAAACATTGTTAAAGACTGTCATCTTTGGCTCACTGTGATCAGAACTGCTGGCTTCAGCTTTCTAAATTGTGAGGATGTTAGCTGAATTATTTGTATTTTTCTGAAAGGAAATGCGTGCCCTGCTTTGGCATTTTATATAGAAAACATGTGATGGGTGTTCCTGTTACCTGTGGTTCTAAAAATTCTTGCCACATGATTTTTATATCTTTTTCAAATTGCAGAGAATTTAGCTTTCTCCATGAGTTCTAAGTTTAGAACCGAATGGATACCTCCACTTTGCCCCATCTGCATTAGAAAGAAGTAAAATCATGAGTACAAAGTAAAAATTTACATGTGGCGTAACTTCAGTCGTGTTGCTGAAGAGTTTTCACAGGCACTGTGCATTTCAGGAATAAAGTAATACACTTATCCACTTCAAAAATTCTTGTTTTTAGGAAATGTGATCTATAATTTTTGTCCATTATTAACAAAAACATCATTCAACTTTTCTGTTCAAGCAGTGGGAAAATATCAACATTTAACCCAGCAACAAAAATATTCAGGAAAACGAGCAATAAACATGAGCACGAATATGATCGCACTGTTCTCCCTTCATACAATTATGAGAACAAATGGTGTTAAGAATGATGACTAACGGTTCCAGCTTCGTGCTCCTGGTAAATCTGTGCATTCCTTGGAGGGAATTCAAAGAGCAGAAAAGAACGCCTTTAAACACCAGTAAGGAGAGGAGATAAATGAATGCATTTGGCAGATGGTAGCAAGGACGACATCAACAGCACTAAACGAAATTTAAAGGTAACAATTCTGAAGAATTGTCTAAAATCTAAGGCATGCAATTTGAAAGATTGGAAAAATTGCCAAGTCTCCCACCTCCACCATACAGGGAAATCATCAGATCATGCGGCTATCCAGGATTGCTTTTCCTAGGTGTTCAGAGGAACCCTGAGAAGTCCACCCCTTGGATGTTTTTCACTGGCATCACCTACCTGCTTGCTGTCTTCCTTTGCTGACTCTCAGCCAGCTGGCCTGGGAGATGAGGTTCTGCCCCTGAGGTGGCTCTGAGGACATTGACGCTGGGCACTGATGGCTCACTGGAGTTTCACTTAACACCCCGCCGCCCAGCCTCACAAACACATTCATCACAACCTGCATCCCTAGGCAGAGATAATGCAGAACCACAACTAGAAATCAGGGGACCCGGAGCCCAAATTGAAAGCCTCTGATTACTGCACAGAGCAGATACGAAATGCATTGAGCAAATGACAGCATTGAATGAACTTTAAAGAAACAGATTCTTGGGTTTGAGGTTTGTTAGACAACCAAGGCTCCCTGACTCCACCCTGCTGAGAATCCATCAATCAAAACGGGACCCGCCACAGGGGTGCGACTCTTACCTCCATCCCCACCAATCTCCAAGCTCCACAGTGCTCCCCACCACCCAGGAGTTGTGGTTCAGTCTGGACACCTGCGAGGCACACCTGCAGGCGACACCTGCCTGCCCCTGCGACTGCACTGACGCTGGTGATTCAGCGCCTTTCTGCCTCCCGGGTTACCAGGGCGACGCATACGCACGCGCACACACGCCCCTAGGGATGGCCTGTGCCGCAGCCTGCACTAGTCTACTGAGCAGAGGGACTTGTTCGTTTCCCTGCTCTGGTTCCCCCTCACCCACCTCTTCCCAACCATGGTTCCAAAATGTTGAGGGGGATGGACAAGTCTTCCAGAAAAATGCTCTACCCGGGCAGCACACAACTGCCTGGCTCAGCCCCCTCCAAGTCAAGTCACCAGGCTTTTCAAGTCTTGTTTTCAGCCGAGCCTTTTGCGATCCCCAACCCGCCACAATATAACTTACCTTCTTGGTTGCCTTTGAGTGACGCTTTTCCAATCAAGGACGGAAAACCTGAGGCTACGTTGTCGACACAGATCAACTCTGTACTTTGCAAGGCTAAATGGATGCCGTACATTTCGACCATGTGTCTTACAGTGAGAATCTGAGTCAGAGGAAACCGGTGGAACACTATTCCTTTAATTTTTAGTATTATAATAAGGGCATCTAAGTATCTATGAACTGGGATCAAAGGGCAGAGAATTCCCTATACATCCCATTGTGGCTTAAAGACAGAGTTGCACACCACAAGAATAAGCCTCCACTGGCACCTATGTGGAGATACCTCGGACAAATTACAAACCTGTTTCCAGTAGTACTCTAGTAATACCAGGCTGAGGCAGAATGGCTACATACTGAGACGCCCTTTCAAACAATAAATAAAAAAACAACAACAAAAAACCCAGCAGACAGGAGGCAGTCACGATGATCACCTACGAAGCTGTTACTTTGCTTGTCTAAAACACCTGATTGGTCTAATAGCTGGACGGCCATTAGCCAGGAAAGAGAAAGGTTAGGCAGGGCTGGTAGAGAAAATGGAGGAAAAATCTGGGAAAAAAAGATCTAGGAGTGAGAACACTCAAGGGGCCAGTCACCTAGGTACACAGCAAGCCCAGAGGCAAAAGATAAAGGGGCTAGAGTATGAAGCTGTCCTGGTGCATCTAGCAAGTTCTAGGCCAGTTCAGGCTACTACCGTTTTGGTTTTTCGAGACAGCTTCTCTATGTAACAGCCCTGGAATACACTCTGTAGACAGAGAGGGGAGATGGCTCTGTGAGTAAAGGCACTTATTTTACCAAGCTTGATGACCTAAGTTAGATCCCTGAGACCTATATAAAAATGGAAATGACTCCACAAACCCCAAGCTTCCATGTGAACTTACAGACATCATAAATTTAAAAGCACCGTACACAGTATAAAAGTGGGAACAAGAGAAGACAATGAACTGTTTCGGAGGTGGGATTAGTGTGTAAAACTTAGAAAGGTGCGTGCATTTGATCTCAGCTCTCAAGTGTTGAAAGTCAAAGTGGTCTACAGAGGGAGTCCTGGACAGACAGGGCTACAGAGAAACCCTGTCTCAAGAAACCAGTAAGTAAATTACAACTGGGAAGGAATAAAAGCAAGGACTAATAAATACGAAAAGTTAATTCAGTCACTAAACACACTTGAAGGGTAACAGCAAACCTACTGAAGACACTTCCTCCTGTCGTCATACAGTGAAGAAATCCAGGCAGCAGTCTCTGACAAATATGGAAATGGCTCGAGTATACAACTCCCCCCATCCCAATACCCCTCCCATGACAAATAAACTTAAGAGCAAACAGTAATATGACATAACCAGCAGATACTGGGAGTAAATCAACCATATATCCTTACAGATGACCACTATGAAACGAGGACATACTTTCAATTCCTTTCCCTCTCCAAAACAACCAAATACAAAAAACCCAGCTTCTCTTCACACACACACACCCTACACACACCATGAAAGTACTGAAGGAAATGTGTGCCAGTCTCCTTCAGACTGATGTGAAACCTCTGTCGCATCTCTGGCCTGGTGTTGGGTGGACATTCACTGACTTCCCATTAACTGCCAGAAAGGTTCAAAGAGAAATGATTCAAGCTTCTGTAGGTTTTTTCTTTTTCCTGACTGTTCACATATATGTTTGCTACAACATTCTTCACAATAAAAGCATGGAACTATCTTATTTTGAAGGGACAAACTCAAGTTCAACAAGGTTAAAATAAATTGCACATTGTACATGGATGGCAAAAACTGTGCTTATCAAAGGTGGGGAGGGGAGGAACAACTAAAACCATTGGCCTCATGATGTAGCTCAATTGCAGAACATGTGTCCGCCACCACTTGCGAGTTGGAATTTCACTAACGGTAAGAGTTTTTGTCTAATTTCCAAATAAAACACTCAAATCACACTCAAATTACTAGGTCCTCCAATCTTTTTGTTTGAAAACTACTGTCCATTAAAAACCACAGTGGCGGGCTGGAGAGATGGCTCAGCGGTTAAGAGCACTGACTTCTTCCAGAGGTCTTCAGTTCAATTTCCGGCAACCACATGGTGGCTCACAACCACCTTGAATGAGATCTGGTACCCTCTGCTGGCATGTGGGTAGAAGACTGTATACATAATAAAATCTTAAAAACAAAACAAAACAAAAAACTACAGTGGCGTCCTTCTTTCCTTCTATTTTGCCAAAAGTGATAAGGAAAGCATTTCATGCACCTACATAACAATCCTCCTGTGACAGCTTTCATAGTGCTAGAGATTTAATATAATAAACCATACAGATTTCTTGTTGATTCCCACTGAAAAGCAACACGTGAGGCTGTTTTCCCAATGGCAGTAGAACAACAAATCCCATCATGGACAGAGAAATTATACTCAGTCTACAAACAAGGAAAATACTTTATTTACAGTACATTGTTTTCTTTACAGAACATTTTTAAAAAATATATTCTTTACTCACTTCCTGAAAAGTATTTCCATCTTACCAGTAACAAAACCAAAAGGTTACTTTTCTTCTTACTTTTCTCTAAGAAAAAAAAAATTCCATATGGCTTAAGCTGGGTGTAATCATTACCAAGCTTAACTTTGTTACTTACCAGAAAGAAAACAAAACAAAACAAAAAAACAAACATTATAATCAGAACAGTTACTGGAACTCAAAGTGCAAAATTGACTCATAACTGAAGTCATTATATACCATCAGCGGACAAGATTTGTCTGATATACATCTGTCATCTACTTTACTGCAGATGCTCATGGCTTTGTCACTTAAGTTTCTGAACTTACAAAACATAAAGACACAATGCATTCTGAAGAATTCAGTAGCTTGCTTTTTCTCTTAATAAATAAAATGGTTTACTATTATTTTGGTGCCTAGCAATAGTACTGTGAATGTTAGCCCCGAGACAATGTGGCCACTACTTGAAGTTCTAATGGCAGCAATGAGCACTGTTACAAGCTGAGTGGCTCTGTGTCCTCTTAACAACAGCTGACACATTCTGAACAAAAGCATGCTTTGATTACACACACCAATGCTTAATTCTTAGGACACAAGCTACAAAGTAAAAATGTAACTACTTTTGATGTACTAATGATCCAGTTTATTAATTCTTCTGTGTTAAACCTAGCTTTCCTGAAAGATTGAAATCTGTATGGGTCCAGAACTACTGCAAACATGTAAAGCTCAAATTTGGAAAGCTATTCACAATACTACACTCAAATTGCACAGGAGACCCCAGTGATCACTAGGAAATCTACCACAGTCCAGTTTTTCCAACCCAACAAGGTCTAAACTTTGGGGAATAAGGTGGCCCTCTTCTGCTCTGAAAAATACTCGATCAAAGCGATGCTTACAAGCAGCAGGAATCCTGAGATTAGTATTTGTTCTTGTATCCCATGTATACTGACAATGTTTGGGTTTGCCCAAAAATTCCCAGGCATCAAAAACATTGTCAGGTAAACCGCCACATTTGATAACCTGGAAGAGAAAGAATACCATGTAAAGTTTATATATTTACAACTCCCCTTGCCAATTTAAAAGGTGCTTGATATTATAATCTACAATGTAACTTATTTTATTTTTAAATATTTCTTGGTTTTTCAAGAATACACTATGTAGACCAGGCTGGTATTAAACTCACAGAGACCCACCTGCCTCTATTTCCCAAGTGCTGGGATTAAAGGTGTGCACTACAAAACAAAAACAAACAACCCCCCAAAAAAACAAAAACCAACACAACAAAAAGCCCCCACAAACTTAATAAACCCTAATAATATTCTTTCCCCTCCCACATTACATGATTTAAAATCTTGTGGGCTGTTATGATAGGATACCAGTCAAGTACAGGGTTAGCATTGGTAACACATCAGGTTCAATCTCCAAGTTTTTATGTGTTGCAGAGCACACAAACCTAACCACTTTAATCATTTGTGTGCACAATTTCAGGGCCTCCAATAGACTGACAATATTATATCATCAGCGCTGCCTGGTTCCTGAGTGCCAAGATTAAAGGTGTGCACCATCAACCTATGTACATATACTATTTCTAAGTCACCTGCAATGGTTACTAGAATATTTGGATCTTGTATACAACAGTGCTATGAACTCACGTGTACAAACATCTTTCCCAATCCCTGATTTCACTATGGATCTACTACTGAAAGTAGGAAATGCTGGATCACATGGTAATCCTATATTTAATTTTCCGAGTTTCTGAAAAGTCCCAATGTGTCTAAACTATGAGAGATTTTGCTTTAGAATTGACACAGTAATGTCAGGAGTATGGGGTGAAAGGGTGATGAATCATGACACACCAGCAAAATTTTTGCTCAGGTAATATACTACTATATTCTGTTAACCATTAGTATGACTGCATTTCTTTTGTCATTATTAAAATCTCAAAAATCTGGGGCCAATGATACGGCTCAACTGGTACAGGCTCCTACTGCCAAACCTTAACACCTCAGTTCCATCCCAGGGACCACATGGTAGAAGGAGAGAACCAAATCTCACAAGTTGTGCTGACTACCATGTACACACACGAAAAATTAAATTCCAGTAACTTTTTATCTGAAAATCTAAATATGCAAAATAAAATTTAGAATAAGCTGGGCGGTGGTGGCGCAACGCCTTTAATCCCAGCACTCGGGAGGCAGAGGTACAGGTAGGCGGGATCTCTGTGAGTTCCGGACCAACCCAGTATACAAGAGCTATTTCCAGCCTCCAAGAGCTATTTCCAGCCTCCAAGGCCACAAAGAAACCCTGTCTGGAAAAAAACTACAAACAAAACCCTTAGAATAAAAACGACAACAACAAAAATCACAGATGTGTAGGACAGTAGTGTTGCCTAGCATGTAGGAGGCCCTAGGTTCTACCAACAAAAATAGTTTAATAAGTTGGTTTCAACTCAGAAGATTTGTCTTCTTGTACCAAGGGATGCTACAAATACCTTCAATCTTTTTTAAAGCCCTTCTAATTATTACTTTATTCTAATACTTACTTATCCAACATATATATTGTTTTATATTGTCTGTACCACATGTAGTAGGATTCCCCTTGGTAGTGTAAAGGCCTCTTTTTTATACAAATACTACAACAGTGTTTTCACTTTTGCATATTTCCAAGTCCATACCTTTGATAAAAGGAACCCAAATTAGTGTTCACAGCAATAATCTCTCCACAAACAGTGAACCAACTCTGTTACTTACTTCATGATCTCGTAAGTTTGTATCTCCTGCAAATATAACAGTAGTTGAATCTGGAGCCTCTTGCATTTTCTGAAAAACCATTTTTAATTGACTTATTCGTTCCGCAGAATGTTCTCTGGTGCTTTCCAAATGGGATGTCATAAGGCAAAATTCATTTCCACCCACACTCGCCTACAACAGGATAATTAAAATTCAACAGGCTACTAGTTGACTACTAGTGCTAATAACAGACTAGTCAATCAGCTAAGATTTATTTACTCAACTGAAACCATACAGTTAGCACTATCCTAGATGAAGAGAAGCACAAGGTGCCAACCCCACCCATGATAACTATTTAGCAAGGAAGAACTATTCACATAATAATACCGCAACCGTGCCCCTTCCCCAGTAACTGAGCCATTGAAGGCTCACACATCTCTAAAATGCTATTGCAAAGTAAAAAAGACCAATATATAAGGCCCCAAACTGGCCAGGCAGTGGTGGTGCACACCTCCCAGCACTTAGGAGGTAGAGGCAGGCGGATCCATGTGAGTTCAAGACAAGCCTGGTCTACAGGGCAAGTGCCAAGACAGGCTCCAAAGCTACACAGAGAAATCCTGTCTCAAAAAAAACAAAAAGGCCCCAAACTGAAGTAAAAGGACAGCTACTTCACCCTTCCATGAAGCCAAAAGTTATTTGCAAGCAAAGATAATTCTTCTTATTGCTCCATTAACGGCCTGGCACAGATACACAAAAACCATTTGCAATTAGGATACTAGTAAGTTGTTAGACGTCTGCAGAATCATCCAATTCTCTCAAACCTATAATCTGGATTCTGCCTACTTCTCAACCTCCTGTCATACTCCACTGCCTTTCCATACCTAGGATGGTTAATACTGACCGCCAGTTTTACAGGATCTAGAATCACCTAGAAGAAAATCTCTGGGAATGTCTGAGGAATATTCCAGATTAAGTTACTTAAGGTGGAAAGACCCACCCTAAATGTAAGAGGCACCAGTGTGACATTGGCCCAAACTGAATAAAAGGGGAAAAGTGAGATGAACACTAGCCATCTTTGCTCTGCTTTCTGACTGTGGATACAATGTGACTAGCTAGCTGATCCTGCCTTAGTCACTCACAATGGCGTCAGTATCCTCAAACTATGAGCCAAAATAAACCCTTCCTTTTTTTTTTTTTTTTTTTTTTTTTTTGGTTTTTCGAGACAGGGTTTCTCTGTGTAGCTTTGGAGCCTATCCTGGCACTCGCTCTGGAGACCAGGCTGGCCTTGAACTCACAGAGATCCACCTGCCTCTGCCTCCCGAGTACTGGGATTAAAGGTGTGTGCCACCAACACCCGGCAAAATAAACCCTTAAGACTGCTTTTATCAAATAGTGTCACACTAGTAAGTGTCCATCACATTAACATGAACATAAAGCTCACTCACACCCACAGGTCAACCCCTTGCTGCAACTTGCAAAGGTCTGTCATAGGTGTTTCCAGTTCCACAGTGTACATGCATGTACTGAATTAAAGGGGGGGGGGGCAAGCTGAGTACCACACTCATCCAATTCCTAATTCCAAACCTACAGACAAGCTACTTCACACTTCCACTACCAGGCCTTTCCTCAACCATGAACCAAAGTGCTAGTGTTCGTTAGAGCTATGCGCAGGGTTTGATCATTCTTCTCACTGCTGTAATAAATTACCCGATCGGCCAAATGTTGCAATAGTCTTAAGAAAACATTTCATCAGTAAAGAATATAACTTTGATACATCTAAAATTATGCAGAAATCTAAGTATTTAAAATATATATGTAAAGGGCCAATGAGCTGGCTCAGTGGTAAATCACCTGTGTCACAAAACTGATGATCTGAGATCAACACACAGAACCACAGTGTAAAGAGAAAACTGACTCCCAGAAGTTGTCCTCTGACATCCAGACCCACACTTATAGACAGACATATACAAATAGGATTTAAAGAATTGTTCCAGTGATATGGCTCAGCAGGTAAGAAAGAGCCCCTGCCATAAAAGCCTGACAATCTGAGTTTGAACCTGTGGTAAAAGGAGAGAACTGAGTCCAAAAGTCCTGACTGACACACCATACCACTGACACACATACACAAATACTAAAAAATATCTACGTAAGTATATGTAAAGGTAAACCTACAAAAACAAACAAACAAAAAACCCACCTCAAACTTAAACTTACATTCACACACAGAAGGTTTCTCATCATTTTAGTATTTGGAAAAGGAACAATCTCTTGACTTTTAAATTTCGCTTTTCCTTTCTTCAACAATATAGCTGTGAAATATCCTTCTTCATTACCTTCAAGAATTTAAGGAAAAGAATTTAAGGGAGGTCAGGACTATATTCACTTTACCACAAGCTCCCCTGTTACAAGCAGCAACATTATTTAAAAGGGATCAAATCTTTTGAGATTCCTTTTTGAAGTAGATCAACCAAGTGTATGTTTCTCTGTCCCTTATCAAAGTTTAACAAGAGACACAAATGATATTTCGATAGGAACAAATAGGGACAGGACATGCCTCCAGTAGTATAAGAATGTTTGTTTGGTATGTGCGAGGCCCTGGGATATATACCCAGCAGGGACAGGGAAAGGTGGAGAAAAAGGAGGGGGCGGGTGGGAAGAAAGGTACAGGCACTAAAAGTAACTAGCTGTTACCTGTGAAAAACTGAGAATATTGAAAAGCTAGAAGCTCACAAGAGAGTAGGAACAAAAGGTCAGTGATTCAAAGCTTTCAACTTTTTTTTTTTTTTTAAAAGAAAGCAGGTGGTAAGTAATAAGACCGTTTATGGGAACAGAGAGAAACCACTTGAGTACACACAGCAGAGAACCACAAAAAGAAGGCTGTGTTCAAGCAAAGTCTGGTTAATACTGGATCATAAAAATCACCACAAAGGCAAGAGCCTGAGAGCTAAGTACAGGAGGGCCAGTTCAGGTCTGGATACAGAATAAACATGCCCGCATGTCTTCCCAGTTCCTCATAGCCAAGTGATTACCTTTTTCTTAAATAAGTTTTAGAGGTTCTATCAATTGTATCAAACCTGCAGGCCAAGTGAGTCCCAGGATAGCCATGCAGTCCAACACATTTGTAGATGACATATTTCAATGCCAAAACAATGAATACACCCCACTACCTGCTGCTCAGCTGTTTGGCAGAGAAAAGGGAATGTGTGGCAGAACTCAGTTGAGTGCCCCATACCCAACTTACGAAATAGGAAATTAGGAAATAGAATGGCCTCAGATTAAAGGCTTTTATGTGTTTCATGCACTGACAACAGTAAGTCTTTCCACCACAGAACAGGCCATTTGGCTACACAAAAATATACTTTATATTAGTAAAGTGCAGTACTTTGCCTTCCTTGGGAATAATAAACAAATTTTAACAGGGACCAGGAATTTAAATATGAAGCAAGAGTGAAAAATCCCTGTACATGAGGAGCAGGTTTATGGTGACATGAAAATACCAACATAACACAACTAAAAAGAACAAAAAGGAGAAAATGAAGCTGGATGTGGTGGCGTACTCATGCAGCCCTAGCACTTGCAGGATGGAGGCAGGCAGACTTCCAAGTTCAAGAACACAGGGAGCTTCTCAAAAGGAAGAAAGGACATCACAAAAACAGGGTGGGCGGCCTTCTAATAGACTTCAAAAACAAAATACCCCTCATTCATACTGCACACTGTAAAACCAGCTTCTTCTCTTCTGGAGCTCACTCAACTCCTCTCCTTTAATCAAAGATACCTAGCAGGTGCTGGAGAGGCAGCTCAACAGAAATGAGGGCTGCTTTTCTAGAAGACTGAGAAGAGCAAGATAGTTCTCAGCCATCTGTAATTCGAATTCCAGGGGATCCAACACCCTCCTCTGCCTTCCATGGACACCAGGCACGTAAGTGTACATGAATGCATACATACATACAGGTAGAACACCTATACACACAATGAAGAAGTGTGGCTCACCAAATCAAAAACATTAAAACCTAAAACTGAAAAAGAGCAATGCATTCAGAGAAGATACTACAACCAGAAAGTACACACGCCACAAACTGTGAACAAGTGACCTAAGAAATAAAATAAGAAAATTTATGAAAACTATGGAAGACACAGGATTTATGGAGTTTTATAACATAAGAGGGCTTTAAAAAAAAGAGGAAGGGGAGAAAATACAACGAAAAAGGGAGGAAGAAAAGAAGAATGGGGGAGGCAGGAAAAAAGAACGAAAAAAGGAAAAGTAGACGAAGAGGGAAGGGGAAATGGAAAACCTTCCAACCTCCAACCAAACCCGCCTACAATCATTGGGTACAATAAATGAAGAAAAGGTAGAAACAACACCAGGGTTTAAAGCTGAGGTCCTCAAACTTGCAGAGAATGGAGAAGGGGGAAAGGGCAGGATCACAATGGCAGCAGACTAACCATTCTGAGAAACCAAAGTCACTGAATCAATGCTTCCAAACTCAGAAAACTCTGCTTACTATCTAGAAACTTATGTCCACTCAACTCACTACAAAGCTCCAATACAGGTATTTTCAAATATGGCAGGATTAAAAATACACAACTAAACAAACAAACAAACAAAAACTCACTCCACTACCCATGTACTAACCAAACAGAAAATGGCTCTAGCTGGGTGTGGTGGCACAACCTTTAATCCCAGCACAGCAAGGAGATAGAGCCCAGTCAGTTCAAGGCCAGCTTGATCTACATAGTGAGAAAGGGAAAGCCAGAGGTACACAGTGAGACACTGTTTAAAAGAAAACAAACAAAAAAGGCTGTGATGAAATGAGAAAAAAACAAGGGGAGAAGCACAGGATGCAGAATACAAGATCCAAGATAAGAGGCAGAAAGAATCCCAAAGGGCATTCGTGAAAGAAATCCAACAAAGGGCACATATAAAGAGAGCTTTCTCCTTAGCACCTAGAAATCAAGTGTAAATCAAAGGCTATGTAAAACTGAAAGTCAAAAGTACGTAGTATAGGGCTGGAGAGATGGCGGCTCAGAGTTTAAGAGCACTGATTGCTCTTTCAGAGGTCCTGAGTTCAATTCTCAGCAACCACATGGTGGCTCACAACTATCCATTATGAGATCTGGTGCCCTCTTCTGGTGTGCAGATATACATGGAAGCAGAATGTTATATACATAATAAATAAATAAAATTAAAAAAAAAAGAAATCCCTTAAAAAAAAAGTACGTAGTATAATAATTATGAGATGTGGTCTATTATTTCAAACATACTTAATAAAACTAAAAATGAGAGAAAAATAACTACAAAAATTGTACTGGAAAAGGGACAAAAACATTAAAAGAATTAAAGACTTTTTGAGAATATAACCACAATGTGGTTATCACACTTAATATTCTTAACAACTGAGATGGGTATGTTTATGTAGCAAGGCAGCAGATCATATATTTATCATACATAAAACCCTGGGAAAAACAAAACACTAACAGAATTTTTAGCAATTCAATTTTACCAAATACACAAGTCTGAAATTTTAGAACTGCTTTTCTAAAAAGAAATATTCATATACATCTTTTTTTAAAGGGGAGGGGTGTGGAAAGATGACTCGGCGATTAAGAGCACTGGTTGCTCTTCCAGAGGTCCTGAGTTCAAGTCCCAACAACCACATGGTAGCTCACAACCATGTATAATGAGATCTGCTGTCCTCTTCTGGCATAAAGGCAGAACCATATATATATATATATATATATATATATATATATGTATATGTATATGTATATGTATATGTATATGTATAAAATATTCATTTCAATCACTTTTCCACTCATAAACTGTAAAATAATCCATAAACCTTTTAAGTATCATGTCTCAAACTATTTGTGTCCTTTATTGTTGTAACAGCCCAACTTTGATTTCTTTTCCTTCATTGATCTATTTTTTCAAAGAAAAAGGCAATTCAGATAGAAGCGAGAAGCATTACCTGTAATAATTTTGTAACTGCTTGCTCTCTTCTTTAGGTAGGCACAATATGAAGGAATAACTTCTTGTAGAAATACCACATCTGGACTGTACCTAATTAAAAAGATCAAGTTAACAAAAACATCAGCATATCATTCATTTTCAGCTAGAGAAAATTTCAAGAATAAGAAAAGTGTTATCCTCCAGGCCCCCAGCACTCATTGCTTATACTGACCTTTGTACTACACAATACTATAGCAACCAATTAAAAATGGGCTGGATGACAGAATACTTGCCTAGCAAGGCTGGGTTTAATTCCAGCAACCTCACTACACATCACCCCAGTGGAATTAAAACAGAAAACATTATTTCACTACACTCTCAGTTTTCAATGGTCATACATACGTCAACACTGTTACCTCTTCAGATTCTCTTAAAAAGCTGTCAAGTGACAACAGCTCCAGAGAACTTCAGTGCTTTACCTGGTCACAAAGCTCAAGGCCAGAAACATATCTTTTAGGTAATTCTCATATCATAGAAGTAATTATAGACAAAACTTACTATGTAAAACTTAATTCTAGAGCACATCTAATATAAATTGGTGTTCCAATCCACCCCGAGGCCCTCTCCAGACCCAAACACCCAACAGTCAGATATTTATTCTTGAGCTGAACTTAAAGTACGTAAATTTGAACTGTTGCTCACAGAACCATTAAAACACTGATCACAGTCACCACCACATAAGTGACAATGCTTACAAAGCTAGGCAGGAACACACCCCTCGAGCCCTCTCTGGCAGATTGCTTCCATCTAGTCCATCAATATTCCAGGTAATGAAAGAGATAATGCTGCTATCTTCTAGAGGAGGTCCAGATGGACTGGTTTCTAAAATGGTGGTATCATTTGCATCCTCGTCGGTTAGATCAACACTGGCAAGATCAAAATAAAGTTTTGGTTTTTTTAACCTACAAATTATGAGTTGTATTTGGGGGCTATGGCACTCAGTTGGAGCCCCCACTCATGTTAAACACTGGAAGTTGTGGCATGCTTATAATCTCAACACTGGGAGGCTGAGACCAATAGATACCTCAGAGGCCTGTTTTATCTTAAATGATGAGTCCAAGGTCCAGTGGGAGACTGTCTCAAGAAGCAAGGAGCAGCACAACTCCTAAGAACCCAAATCTCTCCTCTGGCTTCTAAACAGATGTTCCTACTGTGCCCTCTCTGAAAGCCAAAGTTGGGCTGGAGATAAAGATCTGGGTAAATGTGCATGCTGCCAAGCCTGGTGGCCAGAGTGCCACCTCCAGAATCCACATGGTGGAGAGCTGCAAGTTGTCCTCTGCCTCCATATCCTGGCAAGTGTCTGCCCTTAGAGGGAACACTGTTCTCCCAGAGAGTTGTTTCAAAAGCTTGACCATGGTCACTCTGGCTTCTTGTTGCATAATGTGACCCTCCTACATGTACACTAACCATCCACCTGACACACAGCCACAAGTTATCAGCTTCAGGCACTTGGTAAACTTTTGATTCTTACAACAGTTACCTCCTTTCAAAACTGAAAAGCAGTAAAAAGAATCCCTAACCAACTATGAGCCCAAATTCTCCAAATGCTAACATTTTCTTATTAGCCATTACTTACCTTAGTCTCTTTCCAACCCACCTACTTCCATCCTTTCCTGAAGACTTGTTTACATACATACCCTACAGCCTGCACTGTGAACTGCAGTGATCCACAAACGGATCATTTCTTTTAATATCCTTTTAACTGCAACATTCCTTTAGTCTCTCTCATGGAGCAGCATTTTTAAGGATGCAGGCCACTTGTTTTCCAGAACATGCTTCAGTTAAGCTTGATATTTTCTTACTTTAGCCATGGACTTTGGGGCAGAAATGACAGCATAACCATGTGTCTGTCCCAATGCATGTTGACCAAGCAGGGCGGTGGTGGCACACACCTTTAATCCCAGCACTTTCGAGTTAGAGGCAGGCTGATCTCTGTGAGCTTGAGGCCAGCCTGGTCTACAAGAAGCTAGTTCCAGGACAGGCTCCAAAGCAATACAGAGAAACCCTGTCTCGAAAAACAGAAAAAAAACAAAAGATGTTGACCAAATTTCCCCAGTGCAAAGTATTCATTTTTCCCTCTTTCTACTCAGTATTTTGTGGGTTTTTAACTATGGAAGCATGTTGTTATGACTTATCTATTGACTGTACTTATCTAAAAGTCATTTGGTAGTTCTCAAAGGATTTTTCTTATTCCTCAAACTTTGGCAACTTAGCAGTTTGGATACTACTTTGATAATCACTTATCCCACGAATCGCTGGTACTTAAGTAAATATGGATTCCTATTTTATTGTGCAGACTACAATTTATTTCTAATTACCCTACTGCTCATTGTTCCTATGTTCTTCTGGAATAGTTCCAACATTCTGGGGCTACTCCCTTTCTTTCTAGCACTGTAGATTATTCCAATTTCATTCTCTACCTCCCTTACTCCTGCTCTATAATCAGTCATCTTGTTCTTTTTAGATAGAATATTGGAAGCCAAGTACTTGGTGCCAGGATAATTCAATGCCAATTCTCAAGAAAATATAGTGACAATGGCCTCTTTTGACACAGAGTCTCACTATATATACCTGCTGACTTCAAAATTTAAGGCCTCCTTCAGCATCCTAAGTAAATGCCCAGGCTGTACTAGGACTAACCATGCAGCCTAAGTTGGCCTCAAACCCTTGGCAATCCTGCCCCAGATCCAGTATGAATCATCTTTGGTATGCACAAAAATAATTTTAATTAATTAATTCATTTTTGGGTTTTCGAGACAGGATTTCACTGTGTAACAGTCTTAACTGTCCTAGAACTCAGTTCTGTAGACCAGGCTGGCCTTGACCACAGAGATTTACCTGCTTCTCCTGGCTAAAAATAGTATTAGAGAGCACAAAAAACTGTGTTCAGTGTCAGACTGGAGTTTTACCCACCTGAAAAATCTTTCTCACTCAACATTCAATTTTATACTTTTTCTATAGCCTTACCAAAGAGAGAGGGCTAGGTCATTTCAGAACCCTGTCAAAGATATTAGGCTTTTCATTTTCTGAAAAGATGGATCAGAGGTTAGGAACACTTGCTCTTGCAGAGAACTTTGGTTCAGTTCCTGGAACTGTGCAGTTTTTCACTAATTCTCTATCGTTTTTGCATTATCAATAAAGACTCAGGAGACAGATGCTGGGGTGAAAACCTGCTAGCTCAGAAAAGCAGAGAAAGCACCCAGGTGCTTCCTCCCACACCATTGTCCCAGAAAAATGCAAAATATCTCCTTAGTTATTTATCTCTGGGGAGTAGTTTCAGCACATCTGCTTTATGAGGATTTCTTTTGACTGGCATGGACAATTAATCCCCCTGTAAGGGACCTTAGTTTTATTCTGCAAAAAGTAGCACAAAAACTGGAGTCAGAGCACTGAAAACAAGTATTGAGCCCAGTATGGTGACTAAATCTACTAATACCCCAGAGGATGAGGCAGACGGATTGCCAGTAGTTCAATACCAGCCTGGACAACACTATGTGTTCCAGATGAACTTGTGAGAGAGATCCTGTCTCAAAGAACAAACAAAACTTGTTCATTGGCAAGAAGAGAACAGATAAACAATGTAGAAACAAAGACACTTGCAGGTTACCATTCTTCAGTAGAGATTTTTCTACCTCAATTTTTTCTAAATCCCTAGTTTACATGTCACAATATAAGTCAGTGTCTTTCAATAGCCAGTAGTGTTTCACAAACCTTTAATCCGAGTATTGGGGAAGTGGAAGGCAGAAGTCAAGCCTTGACCACAGGAGTTCCAAATCAACCTGGGCACACGTCTCAAATAGTAAATTACATTTCAGCTGGGGGATGCTGGAACTAGACCTAATGGTAGCAAAAGGGAGGATGGTACGGGGAATCAAGAGCTGGAGGTCAGGTGTATTGCAAGCCTGTCTCAAAAAACAACAAATAACAGTAACAATAACCATTTCATCGGTGTGGTGGCCTTTAATCCCAGCCCTTTCGAATCTGAGGCAGGCAGAATTCTGTGTTTGAGGCCAGCCTGTTCTACTTACCAAGTTCAGGCCAGCCAAGGTTACAGGGTGAGGCTGCCTCAAAATAAGTAAAATAATCTACATTTCATATTTCTTTCCCTCCTCTATTGGCAAAAATAGAAAATAAAAAACCGCGTCAGAAGCCAGTCGTAGTGCGAACGTGCCTTTAAGTACAGCACTAAGGAGGCGGAGGAAGGTGGATTTGAGTTTGAGGCCGGCCTGATCCACAGATCAAGTTCCAGGGCAGCCAGAGCTACACCGGGATACCCGGTCTCAAAACAACAAACCCAAAAAAGCTAGTCACGTTGGAAGTGACCGTGGACCCTCGGAGAAAAGCGTTCCCTCGGACTGCCAGCGCGGGGGCGCCGGCAGCCCCTCCCCGTGGGGGGGGCTTTTAAT